ACCGCGTGACCGGTTCGCGCAACAGCCCAATTGGAGCGCCGCCGACGCCAAGACGACCGGCGGCTTTTCAGCCGCCTGCTTCTACATGGTGCAAGCGCTGCGCAAGGTGGCCAAGGTGCCGATTGGCGCGATCCATTCGAGCTGGGGCGGGTCGCAAATCGCGGCCTGGATGGGCGAAGAGGCGCAGCGCGCCGCAGGGCGCGGCGCGCAAGCCGACCTGCTGTCGCTCTACGCCCGCGACCCCGCCGCTGCCGAACGCAGCGCGAGCGCCACCTGGGAAAATTGGTGGCGCGACAAGACCGGCGACGCGCGCGGGCACGAACCGTGGCAAGCGGACGCTGCGCTCGACTGGCAGCCGGTCCCGAAGATCGCCTTTTACGAAGAGTGGGGCGTGCCAGCGCTCGAGACCTATCTTGGCATGCTGTGGTATCAAAAGACGGTCACGCTGACGCCCGACCAGGCGCGCCAGATGGCGACAATCGCCATCGGCGCGATCGACGACGCCGATCGCACCTGGATCAACGGAAAACCCGTTGGCGGGCGCGGTGGCTGGGACGCGCGGATGTACACCGTCCCCGCCGGCACGTTCGTGGCCGGACGCAATGTCATCACCGTCAACGTGGAAAATGCCTATGCGACGGGTGGCATGCCCGGCCCGGCGGAGACGATGAAGCTGACCTTCGCCGATGGCAGCAGCGTGCCGATCGCCGATGGCTGGCGCTATGCGGTCGCCAAACACATCAGCGGCACCTCGCCCCGCGTGCCGTGGGACGAGATCACCGGCGCGGGCACGATCTACAATGCGATGATTGCGCCGCTCGGCCAAACCGCGCTGGCGGGCGTGGCCTGGTATCAGGGCGAATCCGATACGGACATCCCGGGCTATACCGACCGCCTGAAGGCGATGATGGCCGAGTGGCGGCATCAAGTGGCGCAGCCGCACTTGCCCTTTGCGATCGTGTCGCTCGCTGGTTTTGGCGCGCCATCGATCGCGCCGGGCGAGAGCGGCTGGGCGCGAGTCCGCGACGACCAGCGCCGCGTGGCGCAGGAAGACGGCCATGCGGCGGTGGCGGTGACGCTCGACCTTGGCGACGCCCTCGATATTCATCCGGGCGAGAAGCATGAAGTCGGGCGGAGACTGGCGCGCGCGATGGGTGCCCTCGTTTATGGACAGACCGGGTCGGCGTCGGGGCCGCAGCCCGTGGCGGCGACGCGCGACGCGGCTGGCACAGTGACCGTGACCTTTACCGGCGTGACAGGGGCGCTGCACTCGCGCAGCGCCGATTACGCGACCGGCTTCGAGCTGTGCGGCGCTGACGCGGGCTCCTGCCGCTATGCCCGTGCGACCGTCGCGGGCAACCAGGTTTCGCTTTCGGGCGACAATCGCCCCGTCACGCGCGTGCGCTATGCTTGGGCGGATT